AGAGGAGGGGAGAGGGAGGGGAGACGGAGGGGAGAGGGAGGGGAGAGAACGGGAGAGGAGGGGAGAGGAGGAGAGAGGGAGGGGAGAGGAGGGGAGAGGGAGGGAAGAGGAGGGGAGAGGGAGGGAGAGGAGAGGAGAGTAGGGGATGGAGGAGGAAGAGGAGGAAAAGAGATGGGGGAAGGGAGCTTGACTATTTCTGGATGAAGAAGTGCGTTGAGGCCAGTGTTGTTGAAATGGAGAAAGACGCAGGGTATTTGGAGAGAAGGTGCTATGGCTTGTAGCTTGCACGTGGAGTGTCCCACAGACCCAAGTGATGAAGGCTGATCTCCAGCCCATGGCACCACTGGGAGGTGAGAGGACCTTTAAGAGATGCAGCTGAGTGAGAGCCCTAAGTTCACTTAGAGTTCTTGAAGGAGCTAGTGAGAACCCAGGCATCTCCTGAAAGCCCACACCTTTCCTCTTCCTTCTCTTCCTCCTTCTCCTTTACCTCAGATAGCAGCAGCTGAAAGGCTCTCTACCAAATGTCATGTGTTCCTCACACATGTTCTGCCTCAACACAGGATCAGATCGAAGAGCCTGCTGTACCACAAACAGAACCTCCAAAGCTGTGAGCCACACAACGCTTTTCTCTTTATAAGCTGCTGTAACTTCGGTATGTGTTATTACAGTGGTGGGTTGGTGTCCCACACAGGGGATACTGGATCCCCGAGTTCCTTGCCAGGAGGACCAAGTCTAAGTGAATGACAACAAACATGGCTGTTGACTAGATTATTTGGACATTATATGAAGAGACGAAGGGCCTGGCACCATCTCAAGAGGGAGAAGCCTAGAGGAATGTGGGAAAGGTTAGGGAGGAGACCAGGGCGTGCTTTGGAATGAGCATGGAATCTGGGAGTTGCCCTGGGTGACAGCACACATAGGAAGGGGGTGAACAGCTACCCTGCAGCAGCTGGTGAGGGGGACTTCTCCCTTTCTGTAGTCTGCTCCCCGGGAAGAAACAACACAAAGATTTCTGGGTCTCTCTTGGAGAGGTACGGGTTAGGAGGGCCAGGGTAACTGAGAATTCTGGTGATCCCATACCCCTTTAATTGTTCATATGAGCCCCACTTGGAGAAGGCAGCCTTCTTACCGAAGTTGGAATGGCTACTTCTGCCATAGCTCATAGATCTAGGCAATTGCAACTACTCTCAGGGTTTAGTTGCATGGCTGAGAGTGGGCTTTCCAGCACCGAGCATTCTGTGACCCACTCAACAGTGTATTGTCCTGACAAGCCTGGCGCTGGGTCTTCCCTGTTCTAGATCTGGGCACTTTTATGTGCTTCCCCCAACCTCCATGAGTGTGTCTTTGTGTTATCTGTGTGTGAGACGCCCTTCCTCCCCAAACACACCCATGCTGTTTAGAAACCATTTTGTTGTGGTGTGCCGTCTTGCCTCAGCTGCCTCTTCTCCTCAGGCTTCTAGAGAAGCAGTTGCTCTGCCAAGATCCAAGCTCGTTCTTCGTACTCTACACAGCCTTCTAAACCCTGACTGTGGATCCTTCAGGAGCCTTCTGAGCCAGCCTCTCCCTAACTCTTGTTCACAGCAATTTTTGTATCCCCCTCAGTGGCTTCCCATTGCCCTGAAGATAAAAGCAGCAATCACCCAGGAACTGCCCAGCTGCCAAGTCTGGCGTCTGAGTCCATCCCTAGAATGTCTCCTCTGCACACAGCTACACCAGGAGAAATTCCCATACTACACACTCTGCCTCAGGGCCTTTGCATGCACACATCGCTTCTGTTCCAGAGTTGGAATCATTTCCCAAGCCTGCTTGACACCTCAGTTGTTTCTTTCACCGCATCTCCTTAACACTCCGTGACTATCCAGCTTGCTTTGCAAATGTTACATTCTCAGGGCTCTGAACTATGGAACCATTTGATAAATATCCCTTTCACTCATTATCTAGAAAAGGACGATGCCTTTCCTCTCTCTGCTGTATCTACAGAGCTTGACCCAGGGCTCAGGGAAGAGTCACGCCTCACATCCGTGTGTTGAAAGAATGGGGCAGCTAGTGACCTCTTTTAACCCCTGGACACATTTATCACAGGAACCAGATGTGTTTTTTTACTCCCTAGAAGGGAGATGTGACTTTCCCAGAGTAAGGCTGTGTGTTGCTTTGTAGCAGTAACCCCCAAATTCCACCTGGATAAACAAGAAGGGTTATTTGAGAGGCTGGCCCTGGCCAGTCCTCACAGACTGGACTCTCATTCTCCTCCACAGACAGGATAAGCAGCAGCATCAGGCACAGGCCCGGAAGTAGCTTGGCCATATTCTCTGGCAGGAAACAGGCTGAACCAACAGGTGGATGGGCTTAGAAGTTCTGACCCACCGCCCTGTCCTTTCCCAAACAGGCCTGTAAAGCCTGAGCTGGCGGCCACTTACAAGGAGCAGCTCCAACAACTTAGAGGTGGGAAATGTCAGGACTCAAGGGCGCTGGGAGGGAGGACCAATCTGCTTGCCCAGGACAGGGAACTAGCAAGCATGTGGTTTCATCCCCCCCCAACCCCCCAGCAAGTGGAAAGGGACAGGAGGTTACAATCCTCAGCTTACAGAGGAAAAGTTGGGGACAGAAGGTCAGGCCACTGTCTGGAGCCACGTGGATTGCCAAGACTTGAGCCAGACTTTGATAAAAGGGTTTTCACTGACACAGGAACCCGAGTGATTTTGAAACTGGGCCAGGGTGGAGTCTTTTCAACCCAAGGTCCTGTGCTCAAAGGGTCAAACTATCCTCTACAAACTTCCCTTAAGCAAGGTAACCCAGATTCTTCCTGGTAGCCATTGATGGCTTCTCTGCCAGTTCCAGAGCCTCCGTGACTTTCTGTCTGCTTCCTGCCTTGGCGTTCGAGAATGGACCATATATTAAAGTGATTCAACCAAGCGGAAGGCCACAGAATTATCAATTTGTTTGTTTGTTTGTTCCTTTCTTTCTTTCCTCCTCCTCTTCCTTTTCCTCTGCCCCCCTTCACACCCTGAGACAACATTTCTCTACGTTATTCCTGGCTGTCCCAGAACTCTCTCTGTAGACCAGGCTGGCCTCAAACCCAGAGATTCACCTGTCTCTGCCTCCCAATTGCTGGGATTAAAATCGGGCACCACTACACCCGGAGATTCAGAGATCCCCTTCCTCCTCCTCCTCTTCTTTTTCCTCCTCCTCTTCCTCCTCCTCCTCTTCCTCTCCTCCTCTTCCTTCTTTTTCTTCTTCTCCCTCTTCTTCCTCTTCTTTTTATTCTCCTTTTTTCTCCTCTTCCTCCTCCTCCCCCTCCTCCTCCATTTCTTTTCCTCCTTCTCCTTCCTCCTCTTCTTCCTCCTCCTCCTCCTCTTCCTCCTCTTTTTCTTCTCCTCCTTCTCCTTCCTCCTCCTCTTCTTCCAAATGAGTAACTAGCCTGTGGCTATGGTTCTGGAGAGGCAAGGCTGAGCTCTTGCCAGCAGTGCCCATTATTTCTGGGGTAGGGGTTGTCAGGAAGGCCTTGTGATAAGATCAAGAATTGTCGGCTGACAGCTGTTCTCCTCACCCCTTCAGCACTGTGGCCAACCTCCCTTCAGCATCTCTTCAGTTGACTGGTTAGAACAGCCTTCCCCACTGTAGGGCTTCCTGGATACCAACCCGGTGGGGGAGCCGACCTCTAGCCATTCTTGCAAGCTCTGCTCTCATTGCTTAAGTGTCAGCTGGGAGTTAAGTCTCACCTCCCCTTTTCCTAGGTCAGAGAAAGGCACACTCCATATGCGAGTGTTCCCACTGATGCTACAGGTCGGACTGCAGAGGTAGGATGTAAATCTTCAAATTCATTTGTCGTCTCGAATTTTGACTCTTAGTGACTAGGCTGGGGAGAGCTACTCTTAAAGCCTTCTGGCGGAGTTAGGGTTGCAGATGGGTGTCTAGAAAACGGGCTCCCGGGCAGCAAAACCCTGGTTGGGGTGAGGGCCTTGTTCCCACAGCCCACCAGCTTTATTTGAAAACAATTCCACCTACCTCTGGCTCCCACTCCTGCTAATTGCCAACACACCCAAAGAACGCAGGTTGCAGGTGACTGATACCCCTAGTTTCCTATCTTTCTGCCTCTCTCTCCCTGAATTTCCTATTTCTAAAAGACACCAGCCCTGTCACGGTGTTGGTCTGGCTCATTTCCTAACCTCGCCAAAGTGGGGGGGGGAATAAAAAAGCAACAGCTGCTGGCAATTCCGCTCGGGCTCTTGGCGCCTCCTCCGCGCGCGTCTCCTGTTGCTTCTTCAAGCCTCACTTCCCTTTGCGAAGAGCTCGCAGAGGAGAGCGCGGGCGACAGCGCAGGGGTCTGCGAGGGGACCCAGAAGCCAGCGGACGCGGGCGACCCGGGAGCCCAGCCAGTTAGCCCCCCTCCGGGAGGCGGGAAAGCTGCAAGCCGCGCCCACCGCCCTGCCCCCAGCTCGCCACTCCCGGCTGCTAGGACTCTGCTCGTCCTCCTGGGATCTGCTCGGAGGGGACCCAACGCCTAGGTGAGCACCAGGGAAGGTGGGCAAAGTTGGCGCCTTCTTCCGAGTGGAGGAGGCTTGGGTGGGGACCCGTCACTCTAGCGCCTGGTTCCTCCGAGTCTTGTTTGTCTCAGTGGGTGTGTGCCCAGGTTCCTGCCTGGGCGGCGGGAAACGGATTTGGAGATGTAAACAAGTAGATGAGCTTCCGAAGGCTAAGAATCCCGGGATGGGGTTGCTAGCAATGGCGGTGGGCGATGCTGGTGGCTGGAAAATGCCTTCGCGTCTGCCCTGAGCTTGCATGAGGGGCTCCAGAAGAAGGATAGAGGACCTCTTTAACAGGGGAGCTTCCCTTTGTTACTCGGAAGCTGGAGACCCTGCGGGGAATGGAGATAGGAGGACCCGGGAATGTAATGTGGATGTGGTCATATGAGCCATACAAAATGGAATTTGCTGGCTTGGTGCTTGTGGGGTGTGGGCGTGGGCTGCAGGAGTGGAAAAGGGGCCCTCCCTGTAGACGGCGTGGAGGTTCTCGGGTGAGGGGATTCATCTGACTGCATGGCCTTCTTTTGGTCTGCCCAGCTCGATTTTCCTTCCAGAGCTGCTGGTACCCTATCCCCACTATTCCCCACCAGGGCTGGCCCTAGTGGAGCCTTCCCCCTTTGTATCCGCCCAGGGCTTTCCTGTAGAGTTGGTTGAGAGCCTGGGTTTCTGGGCGCCTTCTCCCAGGAGCAGTCAGGTTGGAAATACGGGTCCACCCAAGCTGCCACCAACCTCCAGACCCAGAGGTTGTGGTGGCTGGAGGCTTGGCCCCACCGATGTTCCCCCTGCTTTTATTCCCTTTGTCTAACCTGTCTTCCCGTGCTACTGGAACTGGGATTTCCACCTTTGTAGAGGGACCAGTGGGCATCTCAGTCGTCTCAAGGACCCTTGGCTCTGGTGTTCTGGCTGCCCTCATATTGTCGATGTATGAATGTGTGTATCTGTTTTCCAACTTGGCCTTTTGCACGTGACCTGTCTCATGGTTGCCATGGAAACCCTTCCACTTCAACCTCCCTCCGATTTTTCTGCCCATTCCTCACCTCCAATCGCCTCCCCTCCCCCCCAGTATGGTTGCTTAGATACTGATTACCCTTGGCTTTTTAAAGGAGGACACCCCATGTCTGACTCCCATTCTAAACTGCCTGGCCCTTTACCCATCCCGTCACCACACGCAGCACAAACACACATGCTCCCACATTACACACAATATTGCCACAGCCTCACATGCTTGTCACTCCTCACAGCCCTTTAACATAATCGACACACATAGCATATACATTGATATCATGTGTACACCAAGTAACGCATCATGAAATCACAACACGTAAAACCAAAGACGCCAAGTGCACAGCACACCATGTAAACATCAAATATATCATGCACCCTACACACCACATATACACCAACTATACCACACACATATAACACCCACACCAAATATACTACATGCACCGCATCCCACATACACATTAACTGTACCAAACGCATACCACTTACACTGAGCCCACTCTGTGTGCATACAGAAACTCCACCTGTAACACAAACCATCATTTTACCACATACACACACACATACACATGCGTGCACATGCACACAAACACAGACACACACCAGGCTGGGTGAGGCTAAGCAGACAGTGGTTTCCTTATTCTGGATACTTAAGAGTATAAAGACGGAGATAGCCCAGAAGAGGACCTCTGACATCTCCCAGGGTCCTTGCAGGAGAAAGCAAAAGAAAAGCTCCCAGACCTCTCTAGGAGGGGAACCCCTCTGCTAGGTGCCATACTCCAGGGCCAAGACTGGGCACAAACCAGGATTTAAGTCTCTCCGCGTTGTGTTCTTCCTTTCCTGACCCCCACAGTCCTTTCTGACCAGAGGAGGCTCTGTGGAGGGGAGGGAAACCTGTTAAAAGAGCACAAGAGGACAGAGAGAAGAAACGTGGAGCAAAGATGTTTGTGTGTGTGTGTGTGCGTGCGTGTGAGAGAGAGACAGAGAGAGAGAGAGAGAGGGAGGGAGAGACAGAGAGGGAGAGACAGAGAGGGAAACAGAGAGTGGAGAGAAACTGAGAGCGAGAGGAGACAGAGACACAGAGAGAGGGGGAGAGAGAGACAGAGAGAGGAAGAGAAGGGGAGAAATGCAGTGAAACAGAAAGAAAGAAAGACGAGGAGGGAGAGAGATGAGAGAGACAGACATAGAGACAGAGAGAGAGAGGGAGAGACACAGAGAGAAAGAGAGACAGAGAGAGGGATGGAGAGAGAGGGAGGTAAGGAGGGACAGAGAGAGAGAGAGAGAGAGAGAGAGAGAGAGAGAGAGAGAGAGAGCGCTAGTCAGGGTACTCAGCTGGGTGTGGAGTTCTGGTCTACCCCAGCCTAAAGCAGGAAACTGCTTGCCCTTCAGTCATTTCCATGCCTCTTGGAGAGTAGTGCAAGGGCTGCTGAATTGCCAGGACACTATCAAGACTTGTCCTCAGGTGGTTGGAACTTGAGGGAAGAGTTTCCCTCCAGATTCCATTTGGCCTTTGGACTGATGGAGAACCCATTTTGTTCAGTTGTTGAATGGTTCTGAGCACCTACTGTGTGCCAACTTCTGGGAATATGACAGTGAGGAAGGAAACAGAGTCCCTGACCTCAGAGCCTGAGAAAGGATTAGGTCAGGACATGGGTGGGGAAACTGAGGCAAAGCCCCATAAGCAGCAGTGGTTGAAGCCTACCTCCTTAGGCAAGATGTTGGATGCCACACTGTTTGGTCTGTACCTCTTTCCTTGGCAGCTATCAACCCTTTGGAAATTGAGATATCCCTTCCAAAGTGACGGTCCCCTTGTAGGTGTGTTGGAGGATGTGGCAAAGCGAGGTGAGACCCCCTCTCCCCCGCAGCCTCTGGGAAGTCAACTCACATAGATACCTAGCTTCTCCACCGCTGAGCGCTGTGTTTCCCAAGAGCAAATGCATTTATACCACAAATATCCTGTTGGACACACCACGGGTCTCTTGGTGCAACCTAAAAATGGCTTGGTCTGTGCTCACGTAACCTGAGGCCTCCGAGGTCCTTGGCATTTGTTTCCGCATTCGTCCATGGGGAATTTAGTCACGATTTCCAAGCTACATCCTCCCTTTAGATGTGTTTGGATTCTAGAATCTTGAAAAAGATCACTTTTCTTTGTCGTTACCAATGTGTGTGTGTGTGGGGGGTGGCGGGTGCATGGGATGGGGGTGAGATGTGGCTAAACCGAGCTAGAAAGGGACTGTCTGGCCACTCTGGACAAAGCTTTTCTTTCACCACTGACCAGGCAATGGCTGATAAGCCAAGGTCAGCTATGCTTTTCATGGGCTGGATGGGGGAGGGGCTTCCTGGACAAGAGTCACCTGTCTGTTCTGCTAAGACACACATGGACCTGAAAGGCTTGAGGGGCCTAAGCGTCTGCCTCTGCAGGGTGTGAAGCCAGGACCAGCATTTAGTGGGTCTTTGAAGACCTCTGGGTAGTTTAGAGGGGTCAAGAACACCCCTCATCTTGGATCTCTGTCCTTAAGAAGAAGCCAGACCTCTCTGACCAAGACAGAATCTTGGAGCCCGTTTAGCACTGTCTTCTCTGTTTTAAAATGGGGCTGGAGAGGAATTCTGACCTGGGACATAAAGAGTCGGCTTGGAAACAACATAAGAAAACATCTGTCACAAAGATGTCTGATTTGGGTGAGGGGGTGTGGAGGAAGAAGTCTGAGCCCCAGGGATCGGGTTGGGACTGTAGGAATGTCTCTGCCCAGTCAGGAACCGTGGTTTGGGTAGAAAGGATCAGAGAGGAGACCAAGGAGTTCTATTTGGAGTCATAGTGACGTCCCTGACCTCCACAGCGCGATAGGAAAGCCAGCCCTCAGTTGAGTAACACTGACCCTTTTAACAAATGCCAAGCCCTCCAATATGGTTGGCCCTGTGGGTTTCTCAGAACCCTGTAGAGCTGTGGAGTCATGCTTTCTTACTCACTCCTGCAGAGGCAGAGCTAATGACTTAGCCTGCCCCTCCCCCTGCCTGCTTACCTCACCTATGCCTTCCTTGAGGAAGACCCCCCCCACAATGCTCCTCAGGGGGCCTCTTCCTCCAGGAGGGCTCCCTGACTCACAGACAAGCACACACACACTTCCGTGAGTAATCCGTTCGTCACACATACATAACCCTCTCTCCCTGACACTTAGGCAGGTGCTTGCACGTTTCCACACGCCTTCTCACTTTCCCCAGCAGCCGTCTCTCACCCCTCTGATGGCCTATTAACTTCTATCCTCTCAGCCGAATCTGTCGTCTGTGGATCTCTCAGCTCCAGTCTGGTCCTGTCAAAGACCCTGGGTGAGGCTGTCTGTCACTGAGTAATGACAGGTGTGTGGTCTTACCCTTCGGGCTCTCCAGATGCCCACCATAAGCCCTTGGGACTTTCTAGAACATGCACTGTTCCTGCCTGTGGAATTGGGGGCGATGGCCTTTGCAGAACCATTCTGAGGCTTTCCTTTTCTTTAACTTTATATGTCAACTTTATATGAGCTTGGGGTGAGCTGTAAAGCAATCCAACAATGTTGAGGATAACTCCATCTTAGGATGACGTCACTGTTACGTCTCCTCTCTAGTGACCATTCCTCCAAGAAGCCCATTCTAATTCCTCTTCAGCATTTTAGCCACGCCCCCATTCTATCCCCCACCCCCTTAAAGGCAAGGTCACCTGGAGGAAGGCCAGTGAGCCCACAGGGGGAGTCATCCTGCCCTCGTTCCCACCTAACCCATCCCTAAGGTGGCCATTCCTTTCTTCCCATGTATGGTCTTGGAATGTCTCTTCCTTGGTAGTCTGGAAGACGTCAAAAAGGCTGGAGTTAACAGAGAGAGCTGATTCATTGCTCCATTTTGGTGGTTGAGGAGACCCAGATGGCAGAGATGAAGAAGTGAAGGCCTGGAGTTGGGGGAAGCGTGATGAAATGTCTCAAAACTCTTAAAATATACCATTGAGCTTC